AGAGAATTGATGCCTTTGAGCTGTGGTGCTGGAGAAGAGTGCTGAATATACCATGTATGGCCAGGAGAACAAACAGGTTCATCCTGGAGAAGGTGAAACCAGGCTGCTCCTTGGAGGCAAGGATTCTGAAGCTTCATCTGACATACTTTGGGCATGTTGTAAGGAGGAGGGACCAGTCCTTGGAGAGGGACGTTATGTGTGGGAGCATAGAGGGACGGCACAAGAGAGGAAGATCCTCGATAAGATGGATCGATTTCAGTGATTGGAGGTGGTGGGAGTAGGTGTGTCAGAGACAATATGGTTGGCACAGGATAGAGCAGGGTTTAGGGCTCTTGTACATAGGGTCGCTACGAGTCACAAGCAACTCGACAGCACATAACAACAACAACAACGACAACCTGAAACACAATTCTTACAGACCAAGCCTGTAAATCCCTCAGCTTGCTGATTTACTGGAGCTGTAATCCAGTGCGGCATCTCTCACTGGCATAATCCACTGCTGTGGGGCCCATGCCAGAGTGGAATTGCCCTAGAGGGTCCCCCTGCCCACTGCCTTTATGGAAGCACATCACCAGGCCTTTCTGCTATGGCGTCAATAGGTGGATTTGAACCATTCATCTTTAGATTAGCAACTGAGCACAACTACTTGTGTCACCCAGGGGGTCATTTAGCATTAAGTAGAAAGATAAGTGCACAAAGAACCTAGCTTTTCTCAGATGCCTCCCAGCAAACATGTGAGACTGAGAGGACTCACATCTGCACCGTCTAACCCTCGTGGCAGGTCCCCCCAGCCTGGCTTAGAGATGAGGAAACTCAGTGAAGGAGTTTAACTACTTGTCATGATCATAAGCGAGTCCAAACTTAGACCATGTGGATTTTTTTTTTCTTTCTATCCCTAAATGCCTTGCTACGAAAGCAGTGGCTTTCCACTGGGGGGACATGCTGTCCTCCATGGGACACTTGGTCAGGTCTAGAGGCGTTTTTTGGGGCTGTTGTCACTGGGTGGAGGGGAAGTGTTACTGACATCTAGTGGGTGGAATCCAGGGATGCAGCGAGCTTCCACCCACACACAGGGCCACAGGGCAGCCCCCACCAATGTAAACACGGCCGGCCAAGGTTGAAGAACTCGGCTCTTAACAGACTTATTTTTACCAAACATCTTCTCATTACTCTTTCTTCCTACAAACATCTGTACTCAAATGAGTTCTGCCCCTCATTTAAAATGGATCTCAAAGATTATAACAATGTTCTCATGCTAATGTTGTTGTTAGGTGCTCTAGAGTTAGAGACGACTCATAGCGACCCTGTGAACAAAAGACCTGAACATTTATATAACTTTCTTCGTTTCTCCAGGTTCATAGGGTTTCCAGAGGCCAAGTCATTTAGGAAGTGGATGTCACTCCTGCTTCCAAGCTTGTTTTAATCGGGGAGCTCCACCAAACACTGTCCACCATGGGTAACCATTATCACATTTGACACATCAGTGTCCCAGTGTTCAGCATCACAGCAACCATGAATTACCTCTGTACAGCAAATGAACAGACCAGGGTTATACTACTTTGAAGACTGTTTGACCAGAAACAATGAAAACCTGGCCTGAGGGCTGCAGATTAAAATCACCCACCTTTGGCTTGGTAGCATTACTTTCTATCCACAAGGCTTATGCTAATAACACTTTTATAATTTCTATTCATTTCCTTTTAAATCCAAGGATTTCATTTTCAATCTCTTTAAGTAATGGGAAGTCACCATATTAAGCAAGTTGTTGTTGCTGCTGTTCTGGGCTATTGGGTGGGAACTGAGCCGTGGCTGACCCTTCAATAGGTTTTCAGAGACAGTACACTGTGTGGGAGGGGAATGAATGCTCATCTTTCTCCCAAGGAGCGACTGGGGGACTCAAACTGCCTGCCTTTGGGTTGGCAGCACAACTTCTTACCTATGAGGCCACCAGAACTAACTTGGAAAGGACCTAGCTGTTCTCCATGCAAAAATGAATGAATGAATGGAAATCCAAGTTTTTTATAAATGTACAATCTCATTTTTTAAAAAAAAATAATTATGCAACAATAGTGAACAGTCACAGTCAAGCACCAGGCATACTCTAAGTAATGCTCCATGGCAGATGTCAGGGTACCATCCTATCAGATGAGAAACTAGTGCTGTAGGGGACACAAAGTGGCAGATCTTGTCACTGATGTGATGGAGCCAGCCTGTCCCGGAGGAATCCTCGGGTAGTGTAACAAGCTCAGCTTAAAAGGTCAGAGGATCGGATCCATTCAGAGATGCCTCAGAAGAAAGGCCTGCTGACCTCCTTGCAATCAGCCACTGAAAAACCCGATGGAGCACCGCTCTACTCTCCCATGCACAGAGCCGGCATGAGCTGCAGTCACCTCAACAACAATTTTGCAATTCCAAAAGGAAATTCCTCCTTCTACCAACAGCATGATACTCTGAATAATGCCAACATTGTCGGAATAAACGCGAAGTATCACAGGACACTTCATCTGAAGAGAATAAATTCACTTGCTCATACATACACAAACGCACTTGCATTTTAATCCTTCCTTAACTTCTGGTACCTGGCGTAAAAGGACCACTTTAGGACCCAGGCCGTTTCCATTGACATAATAAAGGAGAGGGAAAAAGGTGGAAGGAACAGGAAAGGAAAGAAGCAGGAAAAGCCTACCATCCAGAAGGCCAGTGTGCAGGAAGGCAGGCCAACTTCAAGGGCAGAGTCCCATGCAAAAACTTGGGAGTTTAGTCCCAGATCTCTTGATGACCAACTGTTGTTCAATTTGGGGCTCTCGCCTTTTTTCCTCCTCTAAGATAAAGGGTTTGATCTAAAAGGTTCCTCTTTTGTTTATTGGTTTGCTTACAAAGTACGTAGACACTGTGTTTCACACTCTTCTTTATTCACATTATTCCTTTAGAAGTCCACAGATTTTATGATTTTATTCATACCAAGAAGTATGCCTCCTTCTTTTGCCACAGGCTGGGGTCAGCTGCAGACGACAGAGGCCATGAAGTCTCACGACTCTTCCTCTTCCTCCCACATTTGACATATGATTAAAGACTGGGTATTTACAGAAGCATAAATTCAGAGATAATGTGACAAGAGTGCAAATAGAAGAAAAGGATGCCCATCGCTATTTCAAGAACAAGAAGCTCCTCTACCCTCCTGGGGCTGACTGTGGACTGTGCCTGCAACTTATCAATGACCTGGCTTGGAAACTCAAGGGCTGATGGTGAGGCAACTGCTGTAGGTCCTGGAGTACGATGCCTCTTGGCTGCACCTTTACTATAGGTTAGACTCTGGAGCATTCGTCAAATATGCTCGCACCCTGCCCTAGAGGCCACAGGGCAGCTTCTACCTCTCATCTCACTAGCGGATGGCACACCAGCCATGCCAATCGATGTGCCACACACCCGCGCCCGCCTCCACTTGCTGAGTGATTCAGTGAGTTATGTTTTGCCAGAGTTGCTAGTGGCCTTGACTCAAAAGCTGAAGGGAGCAGGATTTAAGTCTGTCCCTTCTCCTTTGCAATAGGTCACTTTTGTGATATTTCCACTTACGGTTTGGATTCTAACATTCTATGGATCGTTTTTCTGCCTAAGTACCTGGTCAGAACCTTCTGACGGCATCAGTGGGCTCACTAATAGATTTGTCTGTAAATGCAACAGAAAAAAAAAAGACTGTTCACGAAGGACTCCAGGCAACTGCGAGGCAAGATGTAACTGCACCATGGACACTTGAAGCAGCTCTGAAAGCCGTCTGAATGCATTCAAGCAGAAGGGATGTGGGAAAGCAGACTCACTCAAGCCAACTTTCCAAGTTCACCAAGAACTTGCCACCCAAGTATCAAATCTCACTACCATCAATCCTCAGAAACCAAATAACGACCGCAATTTGCTTCACTTCGTAAGAGTTAAAGATAATAATGTGAGAAGTCATCATTTGTCCCTCACCATATTCCTCCTCCTGTGAAGACTAGATCATTCCATCAACTTTCCCAGATGACAATGCAAAGTCTTACCGTGACTCTACCTACGGCTGGCCAAGTGAACCCAAAGCAAAGTGATGACTAGGCCTCATGTATAAACGAAGCACTATAAACCCACAGGGGCCAAGTGGCCTGATGCTAAGGAATTGTGCTGTTCACCCAACTTAGAATACACCAGCTGCTCCGCGGGAGACAGATGGGGCAGTCTCTTCTTGCACAATTAAATGTCTCTCAAAACCCACTGGAGGGTCAGCTATGGGTTGGTCCCAGCAGATGGTCCACAACAACATCATCATCATCCTAATTTTACAGAAAATGTCTTAGTTATTGCTGACGAGTTTCTCAGCATCAAGGACCCCGCTCTGGCCTATGATACAGAGCCACTGTTTAAGAGCAGTTTGTACTTCCAAATCCAGATGACGCTGAACTTCTATCACACACAGAGCTTCCAGAATACCCTTCTAGCACACATCTACGATATCAACGTCTTGTACGTGAATATACAATCCTTGCAAGATATGAAACCATGAGCCAGCCACCTTCATCCGCTTCGCTCTATCTTGTGTTCTCATTGTGCTGGTTTCTCACCATGCATGTGGCAGAGTCTGTACTCATACTCGGTCCTGTGTACACACAAGCCTCACTGCCCTCACTCCTCTCAATTCTACTCTTTTGCTCATGGGATCTGTCTTCTTCATTCTTCACAAAACCCAACTCAGAAAACCTCAAAGAAAGACATCTAAATACCCATGCAGACTGAAGCCCTTCTGTGGCGTGTGGACTGTTGTATGAAGACATTCCCCATGCTGTGTGCTACGGGGATGTATTTACATGGCAGCCCTCACAGATATAAGACAGGTTTCCAGAGACAAACCCCGTGAGGACAGAGACCATCTACCCCATGCATCCAGCACATGTCCTGGCAGGTTATCTGTTTAATGCTGAGTCTTAGCAAGGGGCCGTGCTTCCCAATCACAGGCACGCACTGCTAACTCTTACCGATTCAGGGCAAACGCGTAGTGGAATTTAATATTGTGCTGGTCGGCCAAGTCGCACGTAGGCAGCGTTTCCAGTGTCTCCACCAGCTTCACCATCGCATCATAGTCCTGTTGATGACAGGTCTCAGAGTTGAGGGGGCCAACGCAGATTTCCTTTTTTTTTCTATTTTTCTGAGCAGTTTTAAATACAGGATGGCTACGACAATGAAAGCCTGGCCTTTCCTCAGGGGGACAGTGAGTGAATTTACCTACAGACAACAACATGTCTGACGGAGCAGGACACAGAAAGTGTCCCTGCTATCAAAAGGCCACAGGGATAAAACTAGAAGACAAGAGAGCAGAGGAGGCCAGAAACCAGGAAAGGACTACTTTGTCCCCAACACAGGGGAAATGCTGGCCACACATTCCCAAGAAAACTCACTCGCTTCCCTCCTGTGAGCAGGGAGAACATTCTAGTCCTTCCGTCTCTGTCACAAACCACTGAATTGATCTCAGGAATGTTCAACCTCGAGACTACTGACATTTGGACCAGACCGGTCTTAGCTGCTACCTTCGGCTCTGCTTGTGCCGGGCTGGGCAAGGAGCTGAACTGACAGAACACAGTTTGGATCCTGCCTTCATCAGTGGCTTTGTGACCTGGGGCACAGTACTTTACCTCTCTAAGCCTCAGTGTCTTCATATGGATAATCAGATCATATGTCCCAGAGGGTTAAGAGGGTCACATGGATTAGCATTTGCAATGGGCTTCAATAAAAGCGCAAAAAAAAAAAAAACCCCAAAAAAAAGCGCAACAAACAGAGTGGGTGAATCATAGCAGGTCTAAACAGCTACAGTCCGAGTTCCTTATGCTGAACAGACCTATATATGGCGTCTCTTCTGAAGAAACGTCACCCAGATCTAACCCTAACTCTCCAATGTTTCCACCACCACACATCTGCTGGGCCCTATAGCAACTTGTCCCTGAGAGAGCTGGCTCACCACACACACAGTATGGCTGTGCTTCCTCAAGTGGACAAGGAACAGGGCCTATCTGAACCTCAACCCTGTGGTGTTCATACACACCTGGATATCGCGATAGGACAGCAGTAAATTAATGACGATGTCTGACGTCAGCACCTCAGTGTTATCCAGGCGGAGTTTGATCCGAGCCAACTCCTTTGCCAGTTCGTCGCCCTGGTACTTCTCTCTGGCTTTCCGAATGTCATTCAACAGGGTCTCTTTGTAAAAGGCACTGGAAATGGAGAAACACACACCTCTTGTCACCACCTCTCGTCACGCTGACATCCATCCACCCAGAGAAAAGATGCATGCTTCTCATCGACAGGCCTGTCCCCAGGTCTCCTATGCTACCTACTACTCACTGTTTGGATGCTGTCGAAACCAAGGGGCCTTGGCGGTGTAAATGGTGAAGTGCTTGACTGCTAACCAAAAGGCTAGAGGTTCCCAACCACTGTCACCTCGGAAAAAAGACCCAGCTCTTTGCCCCCACAAAGAATCAGACCAAGAAAATGCCATACAGCAGTTCTACTTTGTCATAGGAGATCAGCACAAGTCAAAATCAACTCAGTGGCACCAACAGCCAGGAACCGGAGCCTCTGGGTGGTGCAAATGGGTTACACTGACAGCAACTGTTGTTGTTGTTGTTGTTAGGTGCTGCTGAGCTGAATACGATTCATGGCCACACAGTGAGCAATCAATCTGAGCCCTCTCCTGTCCTGTGCTGAACCTCGTCATCTCTGACACGCTTGAACCCTCTGCCTTTGCAAGCATGATGTCCTTGTTTCCAAGATGGTAAGGAGTCACACTGCCAACCCAAAGGCACAAGGTTCAAACCCACCAGGAGCTCTGTAGGAGAAAGATGGGCCATCACCACGTCATTTTCAGCCTCTAAATCCCACTGGAGGGTCACCTAGGAGTTGGTTGCTACACGGTGGTACATTAACAACAACAAGCAACCATTAAACAGCTTGAACAACTTCGTTTATCAGAACCTTGAAAACACTGTTAATAATCTAGCCAACATGTGTTGGAAGACACACGAGACCTGCATGGGACTCTAGTATCTTCAAACACACAGAGGGCAGGAAGGGACTGGACTACATCACCACAAACTATCCAGAACCCCAAAAATCAGTCAGCAGAGTAAACTGAGGACTTTTTGAAAAATTTATCTATCAGGTGTTCCATGCGCCTAATAAGGTGTGCTTGATTCAGGCCATGGTCTTCGCAATTACTTGTAATGCATCAGAGAGCTGGACAATGACTAAAGACGACAGAAGAAGAATCGGTGCCTTTGAATTATGGTGCTGGAGAAGAGTCTTGAACATACCATGGACCGCCAAGAAAACAAATAGGTCTGTCTTGGAGAAGGTGAAACCAAGTTTCTCCTTGGAGGCTAGGATTTGGAAGCTCTGTCTCACATACTTTGGGCACTTGGCCAGGAGAGACCGGTCCTTGGAGAAGGACAGCATGCTCGGAAGGGTGGAGGGACAGTGCAGGACAAGAAGACCCCGATGAGATGGACTGACACAGTGATTGGAGCGATGGAAGTTGGCGTGTCAGAATCAGCGAGACTGGCTCAGGACAGGGCAGGCTTCGGAGCTGCTGTACATAGGATCGCAACATCGCAAGTGACTCAAGTTCACCGAGAACTGTAACTGGCATCGTGGCCTCAAGCAAATCGACACTCAGAGGGCTAGCAGCTTTCACACTGCCTCGTCTTTGGCCCTCTTGCTCTCCTTGCCCTTTTTAAATGGTCAGGATCTTTTTGTAATTTAAAAACATTTTTTGTGGGCTGCTCTATAGTTCCCTTAGTCTTAAGGGAAGACTACTTCTGCAGTGCTGGTGTGATGTTCAAACCACCAACCTTCTAGTTAGCAAATAAACAGACCATTGTGTCACTCAGGGACCTTAGATAATAACGAGGATGTTTAAAAACAGTCGAAGGTTGAACTGGACCATGAACCACAGTGCATGTGGATACTGCTTGCAAATGTTTGCTAAGTGTAACTGCAACCTAGTTTTGTTTCATTTTACACACACTAACGAAGCCACTGCTTAAAGATTTTGGTTGTCGTTGTTGTTGTGTGTCGTCAAAACTCCTGCAACTCACAGAGACCCCTATGTATAACAGCTCTAAACCCTGCTCTATCCTGTGTCAATCTCACTGTCTCCAACACATCTACCCCCATTACCCTAGTCACTGAATCAATCCACCTCATCAAGGGTCTTCCTCTCCTGTGCTATACCTCTACCCTCCGAAGTATGACGTCCTTCTCCAAGGACTTATACTGCCTTGCAACACGCCCAAAGTATGTCAGATGAAGCTTCAGAATCCTTGCCTCCAAGGAGCAGCCTGGCTTCACCCTCTCCAGGACGAACTTGTATTGAATACTTTTCTCCAGCACCACAGCTCAAAGGCATCTACTCTCCTTTTATCATCGCTTGTCACTGTCCAGCTCTTTGATGCATAGCAAGTGACTGCAAAGAACGTGGCCTGGCCCATGGCCTCGGAAGGTGACCTCGAGCTGCAGGATGAACGAGTGCCCCACAGGAAGAGCTCTGATATAAAAAGACCAGCACGTTGCTTCCAATTGTCTCTCCTCCTTTGTCTCCTGCCTATTACTCCAATGAGGAGCAAATGGGCAAATCATGGCAGGGTTTAAAGTCCTGTCTTTAATGAGTCATTAACTTGGGTGAAAGCCATTGCATTTGGTGGCCAATAAAGGCATCAAAGCTATTAAAGTGTCATCATATCAGTTTAACCTGTGTAGTCAAAAGTGGCGCTTTAGTCTTGTTTTCGTGGGCACTTCTGAAAAATCGGTTTAATAAACTAGGAACCACTAATAAGACTTGCAAGTAAACAAACACCATGCTGAAAATAAGCAGGGCTCACGGACATGGGAAATGTGATAAACACTCGGCTGTTTCTCCCTCCAGGAGGCTGGAAGATATTGCTAATCAATGTGAACTTGGAAATGGCTTCACACTCCTGTTGGCCACCCAGGGGTTCCGGCAGCTTTCATCAATCCATTAAAGCTGGAATTGGAGGGGAAAAAAAGAAAATCTTATAGATCATCTGTATTTAATGAGGTAATTACCAACTCATGGCAGCCTCCTACGTCTGAGCACAACTGCCTGGAAGATTTCCAATGGTGCCTACCTTTTGGAGGCGGATCACCAGGCCTTTCTTCCAAGGCACTTCTGGGTTAGTAGCTTGGTTCTTCATCATTTGTGTCCTCCAGTAACTCCATCCTCCACACGCAACCAAAAACCTAGCCAGGTGCTATCAAGTAGATTCATTCTCATTTATGACAAGTGACCACATGCGTCCAGGATAGAACAGTCTTTGTAAAACTTGGATATTTTTTTTGTTCCAAGGCCTTGACCTTTCAGAAACAGATAACCGGGCACCTGGATGGGCTCGAACCATCAACCTTTCAGCTAGTCGTCAAATGAACCTTCCTCATCCCTGTTAGAGATGTTTTCAAGCACGAGCACCATCTAGTCTGTCTCATTATCAACAGCTCACAGACTGGGACCAAACCAAGTCACTCAAGTCCTTTCAAAGGAAAGCACACGAGTCCGTTTTCCTACCAACACGTGCATACACGGAATAAGAAACCAAACCTCAGTCCATTTCTTGCAAAGCCCTGACATACCTGGCAGATCCAACCTAGTCTGCGTCCTTGTCATACTTCAACATATGGTGCTGGGAGGGCCTTGTCCCTCAAGTTTACCAAGACATCAGTTGTTTAACTGGAGGGAATGAAGGAGGTTTACCAGGAACGTGCTACAAGACATCTCCACATTTGCTTTCAAGGCTGCGTGTAACTACGTAAATCTGGGGTACCACTCTTTCTCTCGTATCAGTAGAAGAAACTGTCAGTGAGGAGGTCAGGAAACAGGAAAAGTGGACTGTGAGCAGGCATGGCGTTGGGTGTCACCTTCTCACCTCACAGGACACCTGTGTGACAGAGTAGATCACCCGCAGGGTTTTCTAAGCTGGAGTCTTCATCCCGTGGAGTTGTAGAAGGAGTTCCAACCCTCAACCTCCTCAGTGAGCACTGACCTGCTATGTGTCCTTCATACAAACACCGTGTTAGTGCTCCACGGCTCGGGGCGCTACGATGTGAGCCCAACTGGGACGCACACAACTTCCACATTTCACGGTCAAGCCTGGGCTCCCAATTGTTTAGGAAAGAGAGATTCTTCTCCCTGTGACATGACTGGAGGGGCCAATCCTTTAAACTGGCTGCAAGCAAAACTACTGCTTCCTTCAGCAGAATTCCCCCCTGCACACACACTCACATACCTTTAACATCAATGAGGGGGAAAGTTCTATCGCAGCAATATAGAAGAAAACATCTGCCATTTTCACCACTTAGTGTACAGTCTGAGGACTTAGAGACTACAATCCCCTTGCTGTGTAGCCAACAACTGATGATGGTTTCTACGAGGCTTCAATTCCAGTGAGGAAGCGCCCAGCTCACAGCGTGCCACTCCCAGCCTGCAGTTCATATCCCACCTCCAGCATAAACTTAGAATGAGTCACTGGGAGAACCAGATGGTACCCAGCTACCACGACTGACCACTCCGGTCAAACCCAACAGAAGGTTCTAGGCAGAGTGGGAGAAAAGGGTAGGAAAACCCCTCAAAAATCAGGGGGGAAAAACACACCACCAAAACCAAACTCGGCAGTGTGACACAGACTGAGGGAACCCTTGCAACTATGGCCTTCTGACTCGCTCCAGATCCGGAACTGAACCTACCCCCGGGACCCCCTTTCAGCCCAACAATAGACAGGCAGTCTAGACAGAGTCAACTGGCTTTTCCAAGTGTTATTTCCGAAGCTGATGGTCGATCCTGCTTCCTAGTCAGTCCGCCTTAAATCTGGAAGTTCCTCTGGAACCTGTCCACTGTGGGTGGGTGACCCTGCCAAAAAAGGTGCAGCCAAGGTGTTCCTCGGAGGCAAGGATGGTGACACTTTAACTTGTATACTTTGGGTATGTGGTCAGAAAGGGGCCAGGACTTGGAAAAAGACCACATACTGGGAAGGGTGGAAGGTTTGAAAGAGAGAGGAAGACTCTCACCTAGACAGACTGACACAGTGACTGTGGCAACGGGTTGAGTACATAAGAGAAAGTCAGGATGTCACAGGATAGGGTCGCTACTATGAGTCTCAGTTGACTTGACAGTGCTTAACAACAACAAAATAAACAACACCAGTGAGGCTATACACTACAGATTAATCAACAAGACCAAAGGAGGGAGCAGCATTTGCCCAAAAGCTAAAGTTAAGAAGGCTGGAAGGGGCCACGAGAGGAGGATAACTGGAAACAAGAAAGCTGGGTCAGAAGCTGTGAGTGTGCCCCTACATCGAGGGGATCGCAAGTAACGATACAAAACAACATGTGGATCAATTGTTGACTGGACAACTGATTTGCTCTGTAAACTTTCACCCAAACCACAAGAGAGCAAATGCTAAGAACATCTCATGATGCATTCTTGGGTCAGGAGCGTCTCTGCCTGGTCCCACGTCTGTGGGCTTTCGGAAGACAGCGACCTAGCAGCAGAAGGTTCACATCTCCACCACCTCAGTGGCTGGGGAGGGGTTAAGTAGGGTCTAGAAACCATGCTGAAATGTGGAATCTTGAAGTCGAAAGAGATGAGAAGGTGGCAACAGAGAAGGGATGTGGCCTAGGCCACACTGGCGCTGGTTCAAGTCCAACCTCCTACCTCCTGTTCTAGTTTCTTTCCTCTGGCTCCACTGAGGGGCAACGATAGACTGCAGTCAAACTTAAGCACTGGTAGGACAGGCACCACTTCACCCTATTAGTGGAATGGCAATTAGAGAAAACAACAGGGACTGATGAGGTAGCAGAATAACTCGAATCCACATCGACTGTCAGTTGTTCTTATGTTGTTACGAACCACCAAGTCAGAACCAACCCACAGCTCGTCTGCCAGTGGGTTTTCAGAGGCAGTAAACTGCATGGGAGGAGACTGCCCATCTTTCTCCTGTGGAGCAGCTGGTGGGTTCGAACCTTATGCATTAGTACTGGCAGCGCAGTTCCTTACCACTAGGCCACCAGAGCTCCCTGTCAGTGGGAATGTAAAATAGTATTGCCACTTTGGAAAACAATGTGGTGGGTCCTCAAGAAGTTGAGCACAGAATTAACCAATGCCTCAGCAATTCCACCCTAGTGTGTACCCCGAAGGCAGGAATGCTAACAGAAACCCAGACCCCAGTGTCCTCTGTCGCCCTCCTCACAACAACCAAACTGTACGAGCCACCACAATGTCCAGTCAGATGAATGGCTAATCCAAACGTAGCCTGTACACACAGAGAAAGGCTGTCCCGATGCATGCCACATCCAGATGAACCCACGTGTAAGGAAATCAGCGGAGGGACAGAAACCACAGCTTACTAGCCGCTTACATGGGGTGGGAGGGAGGGAGGGAGGGAGAACGGGCAGCCATCACTCAAGGGGCACCAAGTTTCCACAAAAGAAAGTGAAATAATTGACGAGCTGGCTGCACAGTATGTGATAGGGAATCTGCGTCCATGAAAACATCATGTTAAAATGTTGAATGGCCAAATCTGTATTATATAGATTTAGGACAATCAAACCCTCTAAGGAAAGAAGTGATGGGTTGGAGGTTCTCGGGGTACACCTGCTCATTTGAGGGGCTGGACCATCTCGAGGAGCATGAAGAGGACACTGTGGCAAGGTTCTGGGGGTTGCTGGTCGCTGACAAGGATTACCAGGAGGTAACGTGGATGTCCTTGAGGAGGCTGACGAACTTGTCCACCAGGGGCACACACAGCGGGCCCAGCACGTTGTCCCAGTTGGGCTGAATGTACTCCGACGCACGCCTCTGGGCATCGCTTCCACAGCAAAAGTACTCGGTCCGTGGCGTCACGATGTACGGGATGAAGCAGTAATTCCCGCTGGATGCCTGGAGAAAAGGAAGATGGCAGCTTCAGAAAGAGCTCAGTGCAAAACCCCGGCTGCCAGTGACAGGCAGGGGAGATGGGGGAGGAGCCACAAACGGAGTGCAGAGCCCACAATTGTGCAAAGCGATTACATGTTTGGCAGGCACAGAACAGGAAACCACTCAATTTCACAAGCTCTGACACCCAAACCCTGGTACCGGGCTGTTAAATTCAAGGTTGGTGGTTTGAAACCACTCACTAAGTGATACTGGGAGAAAGACAGATTGTCTCCTCCCCGAAATATTTACAGCTTCAGGCAACCCAACGGAGGGCTGTAATGAGTCAGGATTCACCAGAAGTGGACTGTACACTCAAAAGGCTGACAGTTCAAAATCCACCCAGAGGTGTTTTGGAAGCAAGGCCTAGCAATTAGCTTCTGCAAAGTCAAAGCCATCAAGACTCAGCCGGAGGCAGTTCTACTTGGACACAGGTGAACCTGCCACACATTAAAAGTTTGCTCAAAAGGAAATAGGGAGCGCTGGTGGCCTAGTGGTGAGGCGTTGCTCTGGCAACCCAAAGGTACACTGTTCAAATCCACCACCTACTCCGCGTGATAAAGATGGGAAATCCCTTCCAACCCCCCCCCCCCTTCCCATGCAATTCACTGACTCTGGAAGGAAATCTGCTGGAGTGTCAGCTCTGGTTTGGTTCCAACTCAATAGTACACACAGCAATGGGAAATGGGATTGGGTCCTAATGTACAGATGGATGACATACACTTGGTTTCAAGTGTTAAACAGGCCCGTATGCGACTCTGAGCTTTTGGGGAAGAACTTTTAGGGCTTTCTGATTTAAAAACCACACTGCTTTGTCACGCGTGCCCCCAAGAAAAAACGTGAAGTGACTGATAAGCCAGGATTGCAATGCAGAGAATCGTGACCTCTCTTTCAGTACAGAAAAAGATGAAAGGTATGGTATTTAAGACTTTAGCTACAGATCATCAATGATTCACTTCAGAGAGTAAAAATCTTTTTGCAGGAAGCAGACATTAAAAAATAGGATTGATCTCATAAGTCTCAAAAAAGGATCTAGGAAAGTTGTTTTGGGGTTTTTTTATTTTCCCCAAGTGAAACGATTTCCATAGCAATCAAGTCACCAAGTTTACTGACTCCAGGCAGATCGGGCCCATAGGTTTCCAAGGCCACGCAGCTTCACAGAAGCAGACTGCCACGTCATTCTCCCTCCTGGTAGTGGACCTTCCTAACCTTCACACTGTCCTCGAGTTACCTACCACTTAATCACTGCACCACCAGTGCTCCACAGTACTACTCCACAGTACGGGTACAGCTTTCTTTTTGCTAAGGAATAACTGCGAATCACGATCCTCTGTAAGACATCAACAGCATTTCCTTGAAATGCTATTCCTTGAATGCTCTAAGTAGTGTATCGATTGGCAGACACTTCTGCAGCTCCAAATGTATTCATACTGTCACAGCCAATCTTTGCTCTGTGCTGTCTCTCCACAAAGGATTTGCTTAAATACACATGACGCGCTGTCACCAGGCTCGTGCTGTCACCAGGCTCGGGCTCAGGTGGAGGAGCAGTGGAGGCAGGCAGTTACCAGTTAAGAGAAAACACAGGACGCATGTGGGGGCTCCCCAGTCAGGAGAGGGCGAGACTCTGTTACCAGTTAAGAGAAAACAAAGGAGGCACGTGGGGCCTGTGCACATCAACTCTGAAGGCAGTGTCTCATCAGCACCACTGGGCAGACAGTGGGATCCAGAGACAGCATGGGACAACAGTTCCCTTGAGAAAAGCTTTGAAACAATGCTTTCAAAGTGGACTGAAAGAAATCAGTGCCAACGATTAGATTTTTATCAATTAATCCCTGAACAATTAAAACAGGGGCTTCAGAATATTATGGTTGGTCTTCCCTCTCACTCCCTGTTTTTTGAAATTATTTTTTGTTGAGATGCTCTACAGGAAAATGGACACCCATTCAACAGCTTGTGCCCACACCACTCAGTGACAAGGGTTTCCACTCTTCGAGTTGTGCAGCAACTCCTTGTCGTCCTTTTCAGAGCTGTTCCTCCTGACTGAACACAGGCTCTCAGCACCCCTGGATCCTATGTAATCCATTTGATCTCAGAGCAGAATGCTCAGAGCAGACTTTTTTTTACTCAACTAAGCTGCTGTTTGGTTTTGAGAGAGCTCTCGTGGCATTCGTAGTCTGTAAGGAGTTGCTCCCTAACTGCTAGACCAGTTGCCTTACCAGTGCCAACCCAGAGACCACACCTCTCCAGTAGCTCGAATCCACCAGCCCCTTTGAGGGAGACAGACGGGCAATCTCCTCTAGCGTGATTTACAGCCTCTGAAAGCCCACTGGAGGGTCTGCTGTCCACCGGTTCCGACGATGACTTTTTGAGTTTTGACTGTTTCACTTTAAGTGTGCTGCAAGGAATATTTTTGCTTTTCAAATTTTATCTAAATAAAGCTCTTCTTCCTCTTCAAGCCTGCAATCCAGGAACAACATGTCCATAACCATGAAAAGTGGTACACACTGAAGACAGTATTGAGTTCCCATTGAGCAAAGAATCCCAGAATGACTGGAGGGGCCCCGTTCTTCACAACCCTGCTGATCAGACCTGGGAAATGGGTGCAGACATACTCATCCATTTGCCAAATAAAATAAATTCAGTAGGTTCTCAAGCACAATTCTAGAACCGTCAACTGAGGCCCTGAATGGCAAGGTCACGATGGTGGTGTGTGCTGTCCAGTCAATCTCACAGAAATCCTATGCCGCAGAGTAGATGTCCCACTAAATTATTCGAGACTAATCTTAAAGGGGGCATAATGTCAGTTCTTTGTCTCATAAATTCCTCCAAAGATCCAGCTGCAGATTCAGACTGTGGTATTTAATCTATACACTTTATTCATGGTACGTTGTATTAACAATGAAAACAAAAGTTTCACCAAATGAGCAAAACTAACAAAAATTCTAGCCAAATCCACTGCCATCAAGTGAATGTAGACTCGGTAACACTGCAGGACAGGACAGAAGCTCCCCGTAGAGACTCCAAGGCTGCCGATCTTTACAGAAGCTGATTGCTTGCCTCTTCTTTCTCCCACAGCGCTTTGAACCACTGACCTTTCAGTTAGCAGTTGTACTCTTCAACCACTGTACCACCAGGGATCCTAAAATGATTACATACGTACGATTCTTTTGGATTCTCTCTTAGAACCTCTGGGATCACACAATTCAGGGCACTGCTCTCAGGCAAGGTCCATGCATCACTTGGAACTGGGTCAAGTCTTCAGATTCACAGTGGTTCTGACAGTCTGATGGTAAGAAGCTGCGCTGCAATCCCAAAGGCATGCAGTTCAAATCCTGCTGCTGCTATGTGGGAGAAGAACGGGCAATCTCCACCCATGTGGTATACTGCCTCCGAAAACCTGCTGCAGGGTCAGAACAACAGCAGCTGGAAGATGTCCAGTCTGTTGAGCCATCTCCTCCTCTCACCCCATCTTCTCTAGTTCCAGTGTACGTGCAAGGGACAAGGTACCAGACTCTCTGCCTTCAGGAAGGTGCTACCATTTGACGGTAACTCATTAGCAACCTCTGTCAAAGGTGACTTTCTTTTAACCTTTTCTTTTGGGAGCTACTACACTTTTAGTTCTTCTGAATGCTCTAATTTTTCACATTTCACCAAGTATGATAATCACCAATGAGGAAAGAATTCTCAAATTTTACCAATTATAGCAGAGACATTAGTTGCCAAATTCTTTACAGTAAGTTTATTCTCCACCATCCCCCCGGAAAAATTAACAACAAGGGGGAATGGTGCCAAGACGTACTTAGAATTGCTAAGAACAAATGAGGAACTTCCGGGTGTTCAGGAAGGTACCTCATGACAGTGGTTCAGCAGTCAACTAACGATAAGGTTGGCAGCTGGAACACTGAACATTGAGAGCACCTTGACGTTGTTGTTCAGGGGCAAAAAGACAGGGCAGTCTGCTATGGTAAAGAGCACAGCCTAGGGAACACTATTAGGCAGTTCCGCACTGTCCAGGAGGGTCTCTGTCTACGACTCCGAATTGACTCAATGACAATGAGAGCTAATAGAGTGTTAAGGAAAAAGATAAGGCATGTACCAGAAAGGAGGCCACCAGCTATGCAACTATTAGTCTCTTCTCATCCACAGTCAAATGGAAAGAAACTAGTCTACAGGACAGTCTACAAGAACCACAGCCTTATCTACCCTGAAACTAGATGGTATTAGCCACACTATCAACTCTTAACTCTTCTAATCAGGGCCTTAATAAAGGGATTGTGATGTTAAGGGTTTATTGTTCAAAATGGCTTCCCTAGCCATTAACACGTTGCCACACATTTTTAAATTGATGACCGTGATTAGAAACACTTTTTTTTTCCTTTTATAATGTATTACCATCATTTGAGGCAACGTGTTAACTTACTTTGCCATGTGGATGAGCGGGAATGTGTGAATAGGATGTGGCAGCCTATCCACAAGAGGACTGACTAGTCTCACCGTTAAATTGAGTAGATCTAGTAACAAACAGGAGGAGAGAATTTCATAACCAGTGAAGCAGCACCAAGAGAGTGTAGTGCACCCTTCAGGACCAGAGATTCTCGTGCCAGCTAGATCAGGGCCTACAAGAGCCGCAGCCATAGTAGCCACAACAAAAAATAAGAGGCCTGACCTGAAACAGAGTGGACTTTGGGACTGCTACCCCGCAGGGAACCGGAGCCAAGCGCCTCTGCCTAAGTTTGTCGGATAACTTGGTGCGTGCGGTGGGAGGCATGATGGGAGAGCCATATTGGCAGGTAACACAGTTTTGTTACACTGGCTGAAAGCTGTGAGCACCTAAGTAGCTGTCCTGACTGAGTGTACTCTGCTTCTAACCAGAATTACTGCCTTTTGACTTCCCTAATCGAGTTTTGTGTGGTCTGTGAGCTATTGCAATGGCTTTTAAACTCTGTAAAGTTCTAAGATTGGTGTTGGAAAGACTAGAAAGAGGTGTGGGAGTATGGGGGAAACATGTCTGGCCCCACAGGAATTGGTTTTATATTGCTGATATTGTTGACAAGACAGTGCCCTTTTGTGGTGTTGGTAAAAGTCAGTTATGGCCGTCACTACAGAGGCCCTGCTTTTACAGGGATTTTGATAGAATAAGAGAGATATGTGGAAACAAAACCATGTATTGCCTAAAAAAGTGTTTTTTAAAACCCAAACTGGTTGAGACTAAAGATATTGTTTTGATGATGATCATTTTGAGAAAGTAACCCCTGAGATCACCTTGTAGCTAAAAAACAAATTAGTCCCCAAAATAAAATCATCCATAAGTATTCTCCTCCATTTTAAAAAATTACCTTTGAGACCAAAAGACCAACAATTACTTTAAAACTAAGATAAGAATGTAAGAAGGTTGTTGTTGTTATGTGCCGTCGAGTCACTTGCGACTCATAGCGACCCTATGTACAACAGCCCTAAACTCTGCTCTGTCCTGTAAGAAGGTAGAGAAACTATATTTAAGAAAACAGAACCACCAGAAAGGAAATCATGAAAATGGCCATGTATTGTGAAAAATACAACCAATGTCACTGAACAACTTGTATAGCATCTGTTGATTAGAAATCGTCACTACTGTGTAAACCTTCACTGAACATATATTAAAAGAAAAAATAAGGGAGAACATGCAGAGGAATTATAATAGAACAACACTAAATCTCTGGAAATTAAGGACTTCTCTAGGCTCTGATAGGGAGCTCGAAAAGTATGAACTTTGATAAATGTCGATAGTTGTAGAGGGGCTTCAGGTCTTTTGTTCATAGGGTCACTATGACTCATGCTCAACTCAAAGGCAATCAACAACAACTAAGCTCTGACAGATTCAATAGTGAGGGGGTGGCGGAATTCTACCTTTTTCTTGCCTTAATGTCACTCTTGTTTTAAGGAATAACCTTTTCACGACTGGAATATTCAGAAAAAACATGGTCATATTACTATGTAATTGCAGGAACGTTTATACCAATAAAAAAAGCTAAAGTACACGATATTATTAACTGAAATTGCATGCAATTAGACGTTAGCAGAAAATTTTTAGGTACGCTTTCCTACTACCTGGGTGATAAGTTCAAGTTCTCCATCCCAGAGTAACTCTGATGGGGGAGTATACAAATATGGGCTCTGACAAAAAGAATCTTAGGGGTTGTGGACACCACCACCCCATCTTAGGGAGTAAAATGAAATGCAGGTCTGTCTGTCTGACCTTGCTTTCCGTCCCACAACCTTGATCCCTTATGGAGGGGTCCAAATCAGATGACAGTTTATAGGACAGCACGTTTTCACCATCCTCCTTAGAAGCACAAGCAATATGCAAGATTAGAAGTAACTGCTAGCTGTGTTATTTTCAGGCACACATTTAATGATTTACACAAAGGAAGGAGAAAATCCAAAACCATACTTACTGAGTTTTTCTGTGTTACCATATCCTGAAAAGAAAAAGAAAATGTAAGAGACATCTATTTTTCAAGTTTATTTCTATAACCATTAGCCAGCACTTTTCCCATAATCCAAGTGCTTATCACACAGCAAGTTAGGATGAACTTTAAAATTCATATTCTGAAGAAAGTATCACAACTGATTAGTTTTAAAATGACTGTGGGCATTTATGTAAGGCGTTTTTGACAGATTATAGAGAAAACTGAATTGAGGTCTTAAGTCCTGGTACCTGGGAACATAACCTTATGCAGATATTGTCTTTGGAGATGTTATTAGTTAACAGAGGTCATACTGGAGTCGGGCGAGTTCCAGCTGAGTGGTATCCTTACCAAAGAGGAGGAGCAGCCACCGAGAGAGGAAAGATGCACTCACAAGAACAGCTGGGGACACCAGAAGCCAGAAAAGAGGACAAGGCTGGATCTTCCCCTACAGACTTTGGGAACATCCTGGCAACACTCTGAATTTGGACCTCTGGCCTCTAGAACTGGGAGACAATAAATTCCTGTTCTTGTAAGTCACTTGCTTTGAGGAATTAATTCTGGCAGCCCTACAACTCAACAGTGGTAATGTTTTAGCCAAAAAGAGATTTTAAAGTTCAAGTTTGAGATCTGTGACTACATTTGACTTGCCAGGAAAGAGGACTTGACTGTCAACGACATTCTGGGAAGCACTGGACTGGACTGTTGTCTGGTGCACAGTGAGCACATCTTGATCAACCAATACAAAGGCCACTGGCCTCCCCTCAGGAGCCTTCCTACAGAAAGAGTGGCTCCTTTGCTCAGTGATGCCTCCTTTAGAATTATCTAGAAATTTTCACTTGTAATGAAAACAATTTCATTAACCATAATGATTAACCATTTCTTTTTACTTGGATCTACAACCCACACCATGGCACCAGTAGTGAAGAAATCAAAGATGCATGGGGCAAACCTGCTGTCAAGGACCTCTCCAAAGTAAGAGAGAGCAAGGATGTTACTTTACAGACTAAGGTGAAAAATGTGATTATTTTCCATTGTTTCCTATGCATCTGAAACTTGGACAATGAATAAGGATGACAGAAGAATTGTTGCCTTTGAATTGTGGTGCTGGTGAAGAAAATGGAATATCCCATAGACTGCCGAAAGAACAAACAAGTCTGCCTTGGAGGAAGTGTAACTAGAGTTCTCCTTAGAGGCCTGGATAGTGACATTTCATCTCACATACTGTGGGCACATTTTCAGGAGAGGCCAATTTTTTTTGGGGAAATGCCACATGCTGGGAAAGGTACAGAGGGTCACAGAAAGAGAAGACGCCAGTCCTCAATGAGATGGACTGATACAGGGACAATAACAATGGACTTGGTGGTTGCAGGATTGTGAGGATGATGCAGGAGAGTGCAAGCTTTCAATCTGTTGTTCCTGAGTCTATGAGTGGTAGTCAACTGGGTGGCACCAAACAACAGCAAACATTTAAGTAATTTAGATTGACCTATAGCCCTATACACATCGAAAAACTTTTCCAACAGGGTAAAAAGGAAAACCTCAAACTGGGTAAAATAGTTGGTAATGACAGGTCTGATAAGGGACTTATCTCTAGAATTTATGGAATCCTCCAGCACCTCAACAAAGTAAAGGTAAACTACCTGGTTGCAAAATGGGCACAGGATATGAACAGACATTTCATCAAAGAAGACATTCAGATGGCCAACAAGCACATGAAGAAATGTTCGAAATCCCTAACTCTGAGAGAGATGCAAATCAAAACAACTATGAGTTATCATCTCACCCCAGTAACAATAACAAAATTCAATAGAGCAGCAAACAACAAATGTTGCCGAGGTTGTGGAGAAACTGGAACCCTTATTCACTATGGGTGGGAGTGCAAAATGGTGCAACCACTCTGGAAGACAGTATGGCGCTTTCTCAAAATGTTGGAAATAGAAATACCATTTGACCCAGCAATTCCACTACTGGGAATATACCCTGAAGAAACCAGAACTGCCACCTAGACAGAGGTATGTACACCCATGTTTACTGCTGCATTATTCACAACAGCAAAGAGATGGAAGCAGTCCAAATGCCCGTCAACAAATTAATGGATAAGAGAGGCTGTGGTATATTCAGACAATGGATATGCTATGCAGCACTGAAAAACAAGGAACTAAAAATATTATCCAAAATCGGTGACCCTAGGGGACATTATGCTGAGTGAAATATCTCAGTCACAAAAGGACAATCACAAAAGGACAAATACTGCCTAATGCCATTATTATAAAACAGGACTGACATGGGGGTTGGGAAGAAACTACGAAAAGGGGATAAATAATGAATACTGCATTGGAACAGATGAAGGAAAGAACTGTTTAAAAGGAATAGATGATGTATTATTTGCATGACAACAGTTCAGAATAAGAGGTGCATAGCAAGGTGGACTGGAGGGAGGAGGAAATTGTGCAACAATGAGTGAATTTTTTTTAAAGAGAAATGCGTAGGGAGTGTAGGGAGGGAAATGTGCAACAATAAGTGAATGGCAATCCAAGTTTTCTGTCAACTTTTGTTAAAATCACAATAAAAATTATTTTTTAAAAAACTGCTATAGCAGCTTAGAAATGAATGCAACATTCATATGAATTGCTTCTTAACATGCAAGATGGCTTGTGCTATACTTGCAGATTTATACTTCCTTGTAAAACCTATGTCATGTTCAACATATACATTATGCATCTGAAACAGGTGCTAGTTTCATTAGGAAATTATTCCAAATCATTAGAGAAACTCAAACAAGACGGTATGCAATCTCAAGAAACACAAACAAGACTGTTCAGTCTTGGCATCACAAAATTGTATTGCTTAAATCCTAGTGTTTTTAAAACCAGGCGGAATATTTAGAAACAGTGTCTTTGAAGGCAGACTCTCAGAACCACTGCTTTTCACGCCTGGCTACACGCTGAGCTGAGCGTGGAAATGAACCCTGTTGCTCTGGTCCCACCTCCCAAGCTGATGATGTAACTGGTATGAGTGGGACCCGAGCACTGGGATGTTTACAAGTTCTTCCAGTGCCTCTAAGGCGCAGTCAAGCTTGAGAGGAAGACTAAACACAACTATACCAAATGATTTGACACAGCTAGGGCATATTCAGCAATACTCAGCAACATTCATTTAAACAGACTAACAAATACCTTAGACATTTACATATTAAAATATCAACATAAATTTGATGGCATTCAAGAATTGCATCAAACTTGCAAAATTACATTTAATCAATTTTCAGTATCCACTGCATTATGCAGAAACACAAATTTTTCATCCTGACTTTGCTTCAGACTGAGAAGAAACAATAGATTAAACTCAGAAAACCAGAAATCGAGAGGACTTTTGATCCGTTTCAGCAACTGCTAACCATTTTCACACTATTCATTAAACTGAGGATGATTTTATTTTTCTTTTCTATGTATGTTTAGATCAAGTTGTCTATTGAGGGGTTCTCAGAGCTAGGCTTGCTTCAACAGAAACTAACGGGTTTCGCCTTCACTTCCTTAAAAGCCTAGAAACATGTATGTTGGTTACAAATGCAGGTCTGTAGTGCCCAGTTGCCCACAGGGGCCAGGAAGTGGCATAGAACCCATGGTGGGAAGGAAGGAAGGAAGGAATTGCACAAACCACTCTTTCTTTTCTTCTGCTACAGTCACATTTCAACTCTAAAGCCAATGAAGCTTCACCAAATGCGGTACCCAGGAGAAAGTGAACAAGAGCCTTTACTTTCAATGAGAGTGCGGTGTCCGTGTCCGTGTCGTGGTACAGGATCACGTTGTTTGCCATGTCGAAGCTTTCTCGGACGCCGAGATGGTAGAAAAGGGAAGGCTGTCGGGACACGTCGCTCATGTCCACCACTGCAACATCTGCAACAAAAAAGGAGGGTGAAAAGCGTGATCACATCCCCACCTCGTCCCCTTCCTGCCGGATCACCACCAATGCAGAGTTCCTGCAATCAACCCTCTTGTCTACCACCAGCCGTTCAGGCGAAGGAGAAGGGAGAGATGCTTTGGTCCACATGATCCTGGGGAAGCGTAGAAGGCAGACAGGAAGAATAAGAATGAAATAAAAAAAAAAACAACAACAACTTACTAGAGAGCTCTGGTGGCCTAGTGGCAAGAAGCTACACTGCAATCCCAGGGGTACGTGGTTCGAATCCACCATATGCTCTGCTGGAGAAGGAGGGGCAATCTCCTCCTGTGCCAGTTGGATCCGAGTCAATGATACACAACAACAACAACAAAACCCCCAAACAAAACCCAAAAATAACTCCCTTCTTTAACATGCTGGGAATGCAGACAAATTTCTTGCTGATGTTTCCAATGTTATTTTTCTAATGAAAAGGCATGTTTGACCACGGCATAAAGGAAAGCAAAAGCTGTTGAGAAGGAAAACTCAAGAATTTTCACACGTGTGAAAAAAATGGTAGACCAGCAGCCTGTTAAAGGTGGGAAACCTGCAAGACCTGAAAGAACAAGGCAGGCCCATCAGGTTCCAGCTCTCACTGGTTTCACTTCACAACAAAGCAAAAAAGCAGGCACCCACCAAGCAGTGCATGACACGGTGCAATGACAGCACGGCCAGGACCCCAGCCCCCCCTTCTCCTACCCAGAGAAGCATGCACTCCAGCTTCTTTAAGACTCACAGCTCTACTTCCTCTGGGTATCTCTCTGGGCACATGCACACAGATGGACATATAATACACACATACCTGTTTGGAAATGGCTACTGCATTTCTTGGTGAGTTGATTCATCAAAATGAACCTCAGTCTCTCCTTGTAGGATAGCATTTTGAACCAAAGCTCTTTCTCACATACTTTGGGCACATGACCAGGAGAGACTAGTCCTTGAAGAAGGACATGATGCTTGAAGGGTGGATGGACAGTGCAGGAGAGGATGTCCCCAGATGAGATGAATTGATGCAATATCTATGACTATGAGGGTTGGTGTGTTGGAATTAGTGAAACTGGCTTAGGACAGTGCAGAGTTCAGAGCTTTTGTACGTAGGTTGCAGGTGACTTTATGGCTCATAACAACAACAACAGGCCATCAGAGCTAATTTAATTAAAGATATCTAATCAAAGAAAGGAGAGTAAAAATAGCTATAGAAATCAGAGAATATAAACAATAAGACTGAATTGTGTGTGTAGAAACTATCAAATTGTATATAGTTCTTATGTGTATTTTTAACAACAATAATAAAATAAATTAATATTCTTAAAAGAAAAAAAAAAGAACCTCAGTCAGCACAAGGGGTCCAAGAGCTTCCAAGCTATTTCTCTAACAATCAGGGCCCTTTCTTACAAAATCAGCTCTTCCATTCGCAAGCCAACGGCAGGGCCCAGCCCACGTCCCAGTGCGCAGGAGGATGGACTTCATGACCCAACACTGGCTAGAGAATAATTTTCTCTCTCTCCCCACCCCTCTAATGTTCTTTTTCTTGCCTTCATGCACCAACTTCCTTATTCTTAGGTGGTTTGGGAGGATAAACATGCAGAGATAAACAAACATCCATGATTTGCTTCAAGGATGTTCTGACAACGCCTGATTCCAGTCTCACCGTGACAGAGAAAGGTGCTTTTCCTTTTGACAGATGAATACAAGAGGAGGCTCCTGGAGAGGTCTCATCCCCAGCAAATTGGTTATTGATGGGTGAACAACATTCTGAGTAAATGGTTCGGTAAGGGTGGCAGGCACACCATGAAAAACACAATATAATCAATGTCACCGAACTGTCAATGTGGAAGTCACTGGATTGGCAAAATTTTTTACTTGACATTTTCACAGTCAGTTTCTTTTTTAAAAAATGATTGGGCTTTCTACGAAGATGGCGCCGAAAGCAAAGAAGGAAGCCCCTGCCCCTCCCAAAACTGAAGCCAAAGCAAAGGTATTGAAGGCCAAGAAGGCAGTCCTGAAGGGCGTCCACAGCCAAAAAAAAAGAAGATCCGCACGTCACCCACCTTCTGGCGCCCTAAGACGCTGAGACTCCGACGGCAGCCCAAATACCCCCGGAAGAGTGCTCCCAGGAGAAGCAAGCTTGACCACTATGCCATCATCAAATTTCCCCTGACCACTGAGTCAGACATGAAGATAGAAGATAACAACACACTTGTGTTCACTATGGATGTCAAGGCCTACAAGCACCAAATTAAAGAAGCTGTAAAGAAGCTCTATGACATTGATGTGGCTAAGGTCAACACTTTGATTAGGCCTGATGGAGAGAAGAAGGCCTATGTTCGACTTGCTCCTGATTATGATGCTTTGGATGTTGCCAACAAAATTGGGATCATCTAAACTGAGTCCAGCGGGCTAATTCTAAATGTAATAAATTTTTCTCACCAAAAAAAAAAAAAAATGATTGGAAGAGCTAGAAGGCAAGCTTGAGGAGGAACTACAATGAAAGACTTCCGGGCCACATCCTCCACTTCTTTTCTCCATTGATTCTTTTTTCCTTGCCTGCCTCCCGCTGGTTTAGGGAGTGAGGTGGGCAGTCATCCCCCATCCTTAGTGGGCTCCTCTGACCTACTGTTTCTCACCCCAGGTTTGTGTACCTTATGGATGGGTCCCAATTCTACTTCCAAGCGGCCCTGACAGTCCTTTTACCACATAGCTAAGAAAACGGGAGTGTTAAGACTTCGTTCTTACCACTCAGATCACAGACTCATCAAGAACTTGAGCAAAGAACTGTGCCCACGTGAAGACAGCGGGATAGAGAGCAGCTGTCCAGCACTAGGTCCAAGCTAACAAATGGCAGCGTGCAAAGGGAAATCTAAGTGCCATTAGCGACCATGGTTCTAGTTTCCACACAAGGCAACAAAATCTCTCCATCTGAGCTGTCAGCAAAGCTGATGCTCCTGAGTAATACACATGGCGTTCTCCTTGGCATGCATCACTCATTTCAAGGTCTCTCTGCAGTCTGCTCAAGTATTTACTCTGCAACATGTTTTCAGTTTATAGCCCCTTTGGTGAAGTGAGCACCTCTGGAACCACAAGGTGGTTCAAGGTGGCCAGGGAAAGCCTAACATCTCCCACCCTTGACCATGAGAGTAGAGCTGGAGACGTTAGACAACCACCAACAGAGGAACTGCCTGATACCTGAAGCTTCCCTGATAAGGCTGAGCTTGGAGAAGTGGCCATGGAGCACCCAGCAGATGGTGTGCTGTCCATCGATTACCATCAGTGATCTGCTCTGGCTTCCTCAAAGCTGACTGGCCTGAACTGGAACACAAACCCAAACCTGCCACTGAGTTGATCATAGAACAGAGTCAAACCTGTCCCATCGAGGTTCCAAGGTTACAACCTTGACAGAAGCAGCTGGAAGGTTCAAACCGCCAACGTTTTGAATAGCAGCCAACACCTGATCTCCTGTGCCATCAGGATTCCTGGATTTAAGTCAGACCCAAATCATTTTCTAGGTCCTAACCACCTTGCCTCTGCTCTCTTCTCAACTCTCTATAGTTAAAGGATAGCAATGTGGTTGGCAGGGCTACTCCTTACCCCCTAAGCCACCAGAGTGCCCTGTGTGGTAGTGGTGGTGGTAATGGTCGTGGTGGTGTGCCACTGAGTCAGAACTTACCCACAGCTGACCCTCTAGTTAAGTGTGCAAAGGCAATTAATCACACAGGAGACTGGCCATCTGAACTGGACTTGAACAATGTAGCTTTGCACTTGCAGCGCAGTTACTAACCACTAAGCCACCAGAACTCCTTACATGGTCATAGGTAGTAGGATTAGTTTTTTAGAAATTGAGAGGACAGCAGCTATACAGTTATGAGATCGTCCAGACAAGGACAAGGGAGATATGAACAACTGCGAGTCTCCCCATGGAGTAAAATGGGAAACCACTAAGTGAAATTACAGCCTTGAAAACCCTACAGGGCAGCTCTATTCTGCAAGCATTGTTAGGAGTCAGAACGAGCTCTGAAGGCAAGTGGTTTTCTGGTTTGGTGTTCACAGTAACCACTGTCTAAACAGGGAGCTCTGGTGATGACTGGGTAAGGAGCTGCACTGCCAACACAAAGGCACACAGTTCAAATCCACCAGCGGCTCCTCGGGAGCAAGAGAAACTGTCTCCTCCTAGGTGATTTAGTGCCTCTGAAAACCCACTGGAGGGTCAGCTATGAATCAGTTCTGACTCGACCACATGGAAAGAAAATTATTAAAATAATCTCTACTGTGCACAACTCAGGAAGGTGGCAGAGGACCAAAAATTCAACATTACTAAAAGATGTCAGGCCAAGTGAAGAGGCGAGACAGAAAGGGACTTTGAAAGGTACCCTCCCTTCTTGCAATTTCTGTATCAGAAGAACCCAGAGAGATAGGTTTATTTAGGAAATCCCAAAGCTGGAAACTGGTGATGCTTGATAAAGATAGTTTGGGTAGAATGTTAAATGATCCAGGAAGTATCAAAAGAAGATGGAAGGAGTACACAGAGTCATTGTATCAGAAGGAATTGGCTGACACAGAGACATTTCATGAAATAACATATGAGCAAGAACGTTTGGTGATGAAGGAGGAAGTTCAAGTTGCTCTGAAGGAATTGGCAAAAAACAAGGCTCCAGGAGTTGACAGCATACCAATTGATTTATTTCAACAAACAGATGCTGCCCTGGATGTGCTCACTAAGTTGTGTCAGGAAATCTGGAGGACAGCCAGCTGGCCAACTGACTGGAAGAGATTGATATTTGTACCCATTCCAAAGAAAGGTGACCCAACAGAGTGTGGAAATTATCAAACAATATCATTGATACCACATGCAAGCAAGATTCTGCTGAAAAATTATCCAAAAACGTTTAGAACAATATGTCAACAGAGAACTGCCAGATGTGCAGGCCAGATTTAGAAGAGGTCGTAGTACTAGGGACAT